CAATCTGTACGGTTGAAAGATCAGTTTGGCAACGACAGCGAAGCAGTGCTTGGTTCGAGCCCGCATATGAAACATTCTTTGACAATGAATGGTTTGAAAACTTCCGTGTATCGAGGAACACGTTCCAGTTCCTTGTTGATGAACTGCAATATGAAATTGTACGCCAAGATACTTTGATGCGGAAATCGATTGAAGTGAAGAAAAAGGTAGCCTTGTTCTTGTACTTTCTAGCCTCAACGGACGGGTATCGATCCCTTGCTAATCTGTTTGGCGTTTCCAGAGGATTTATTTGTATTTGTATTCGTGAAGTTGCCAAAGCTATTTTAAGAAAACTTAGGCCCAAATATCTCACGATTGCGAAAGGTGACGAACTGTGCCGTATCATTGCTAGCTATAGGAAAAAATGGGGTTTCCCCATGTGTGCCGGCGCGATCGACGGGACTCATATTCCAATTGCGACACCTTTGGAAAATCATGCGGCATATGTGAACAGGAAATCCTTTCACAGTATTGTAATGCAGGCCCTCGTTGACGATGGTTACTTATTCAGGGACCTTGTCGTTGGATGGCCTGGCAGTGTTCATGACGCCAGAGTGTTTTCAAACTCAGAGGTGTACACCCTTGGGTGTAGTGGCCATTTGTTTCCACCAGATCTGAAAGAGTCAATTCTGGGTAGAGAAATCCACCCTGTCATATTAGGTGACCCAGCATATCCCCTATTAACTTGGTTGACTAAAGGTTACCCTGAAAATAGGAACACTCCTCGTATTCAGAGGCGTTTCAATTACCGCTTGAGCAGAGCTCGAATGACTGTGGAAAACACGTTCGGTCACTGGAAGGGCAGGTTCCGACGATTCTTAAAGCAAGTGGATATGAATGTTGAGGGAGTTGTAAACGTTGTGGCAGCTTCGTGTGTACTTCACAACATCTGTGAGATGCGACATGAACCATTTTTTGATCGATGGTTACAAGAAGGATTTAACGATCATGACGTCGCAATCATGGATGGAGCGGAAGTTGAAGACCAGGCTGGTTCAGACATCAGAGATACCCTTGCTGCTTGTTTTATGACCGGTCAAGGACAAAGTACAGGCACCGTCTAAAACTTTTTTATGAAATCGCATACAAACAACTCCCAGATTGTATAATTGCTGAGCGACTATTTTCATCAATCGTGCTCTATACCTCGAATTTGCTGAAGACTTTGTTTGGTAGTCTTGTTTTGTTACTGTAAAGCTTTTTCTCTTGTGTTTTATCCAAAGCCAAACTTCAGCTTGCGATGCGAAATAAATAAGTTCATATTTTCTACTCACACTTGTAACGATTTGCTTTTAATGAAAACAGGTAGTTAGTAATTATACCTACAAGCGGATAAAAATTTTGAAGTAATGGAACTTGCTTAACCTATTTGAACTGTTAACGTATAGCAGGCTCAGGCTCAGTAACCTGAAACAGAAATATTATGTTACTTCTTATTTAATTTCATACACTGTACCTCAACATTTCTAACTTTTGAAACTGACCAAACACAAAAGAAGGTTTAACAACTTTACTAGTTTCAAGTTAGTACCAACAAAAAGGTTATCATTCAATTCAACATTTTTAGAACTACCTCGCCAGCCACTCTCTACAACTGGTAGAAAGACTGATCATTTTCACTAGAAAAGGAGGAGTTTGATGATGTAGGATTCCCACAATTCCCATAATGTTGTGTCATTGCAAATGAGGCTGCACTATTTTGTCCCCTTGTCTGCATGAGAATTTGCAGAATGTTCAGTTCATGCTGTCGCTCCTCCCTTCTTCGCTCAGATTCCAACTTCTGGAGGTCTAGTCTGAACTGCAATTCCCTTTCATGTCTTTGTTTTGCTAGCTCTTCATATCTGGAAATAAAAACAAACAAACTGTGATGTCAACGGTGAATTTCCCCTTCATTAGAGAACGAAATCAACAACAACGAAAAAAAGTGCTCGTATACGGAGTCTTTGATACTTATAGGAAATTTCATGTCTAAGCAGGAGCTTTTCAAGTTAACAAAATTATATCTACAAAAATTGTAGATGTTCAGAGCTTCTCTCTGTGTCAATCGCTTGCTGGGTCAAAAATACTAGTACAAATATGTACAAATATGCTATCTATCTTCATGTGGTTTACATAAAAAAAGTTGTGGCTGAAATTTCTGCAATTTCTATTTCCAGGGCTTGACTTGAAAGGCCACAAAATCACAACATTTATGGCCTTATAAGCCCATTTAGCCTTGAAAAAAACTCTGCCATTACAGCATTAGGTAATTCTATAGTCACAGAGATATCTCTAATCACAGGACTTACCTTTTCATTTCATCTGCTGAACACTGGGCAAAGCTGGTGCACATTGTTTCAATTACTTCTCTAATCTCGTCTTCTTGCTTTTAGGTCTCTTCCCTGTCAGTTTTCTTTTCTTTTCTGCTGTACCCATTTCTACTTCTCCTTCTGCCCGGTCAGATACTGTTAATCAATGAATTACATTTGAAAAGTCTATGCCCGAGAAGGGATTTTCATGTTCTCTGACATAATGCTAAATAAAAACTGCACACAGAGAAAAACAAAAACAAAAAATAAATTGCTGAGCAGTTTTCATATCAGAAATGTTCTTTGCGTCTTCAAGAGGTCATCGAGTACTATTATCACACATTGTTGACCAAACCAAGGTTTGAGAATGGTATGCAAACTAAAGTCTTGTTTTCAATATGGAGTCCTAGGAATTACTCAATAAATGATACACCAAAACCCTATATAGACAAATAGTATTACTATTTGTAAGAATACTGTAAATATGCCCCATTTACATACCACTTTCTTCATAGCTTTCTTTGTCGCCTTCATCAGTGTCATTTTCTTCACCCATACGAGGATCCAGTATATCACAGTCATTTTCTTCTTTGCTGGTACCCATTACATTTTGAGGCTGAATGGAGGGGTTGTCTTTGAAAATTTGGTCCAGTTTATCGAAAAACTTCCATTGTTTCTTTTCATGAGGCTATCTTTTTCAGTTTTGTTTTTTGCCCGAAGCTTCTTTAATTTACTCGTTATTGCTGCAGCTGACTTACATATCCCTAGTTAAAAAGAAAACACAACCCCCTGTAACATAATTTTCTTTTGTGTTTAATACTGTTAGTGATGGCATCTCATTTTGACAGAAGCTTCAGCTTATTAATTTTACTGTGAGCATTAATATGTAAGTTAAGCTTACATACCTTGACTTTCAAGTTTCACTTTAACGTCGTTGTACACGGCACTTTTGTCCTTAGGACATCTCGCCTTTTCCAAGCTAAACTGTATAGTCTTCTCCGAGAAGACATCGATTAATGCCTCCACTTCTTCGTCTTTCCACGCGGAGGAGGAATCAGCCGCCATGTTGAAATCAACAACGTTGTTGTCCCCAGAGCCACACGGTTTTTTACTGCGCATGTCATTAGCGAAAATCGTTACGCGAACGGACGTAAGAATTAAGGAACGGTTACGGACCCGTGTTTCTTCTGATTTTGGGGCCATAGACGTCTATGGCCCCAAAACCAGAAAAAACACGGGTCCGAACCCATCCCCCAAAACATGGTACGGATTATTTACACGGGCAAAAATGTGAGGTCCGTACCCCTTTTTTGACACGTCCGTACCCGATTTTTCTGCCGTGGAAACGGCCTTTAAGTCAGCAAGACCAGTTGCAATTAACGGACCTGTGTCCTCTGAACAACTCAGAAAGGAACTGATTTCAAACAACAAATTAGCGTTGTCAGAGTCTCCTCCACCCGACATATCCTCAAGGACGATATCCTCTCTTTCATCGATATCATCTCCGAATAAACTTAAGGCATCTGCCTCACTTGCATCATGTTGATGCAGCATATTGGCTT